GAGCAGGAGGGGGGCCTGTGCCCCCTGCATATGAGCAGGGTGGGGTGGGCTGCAGCTGCAGGCTAGAGTTGGGCTGCACGGAGCTCTTCTCAGTGGGGGCTGAGTCGGGTTGGGCGCACAGTGACAGTGGCAGCATGGTGGCAACAGCAGTGGCAATAAGCGGGGAAGCTCCTGCAGATGCCATCAGCGCTGTCAGTGGTGGGGGGTTGCAAGTGCCAACCAAGGGTCAGCATACACCTGCAGCTGCTGCTGGCAGTGGCGGTAGTGGCCAGCAGGGATTGCAGACTGCCCACAGACGCCGTCAGCGGTGGAGTGGTGAGCAGTGGCCACCCCCAGGCACTGCTGATGGTGTTAGCAGTGCTTTTTTGCAGGGGGTGTACGTGCACCCCCTTTACAACCCCCATATGAGGTAGGGTTGTCCTCTTATATATAACAACATTTCTTCATCAAAATCTTATTTATCACAAGGTAAACTACTGATCTTTGGATTCCAACTTGTGGATGCCTAAAAAGTAACTTAGAATCTCAAGAGTCCAGAAACAGATTATCCTAGAAAATACATTTTGTTAGTCAAGTAATAAACTAATTAACAGAAATTATAGATTGGATAATTGGTACAACTCAGATAATCAGTAATAGTATATTTCATTATAAGTTCTAGCCATGTGCGAGCAGGGAGGAAATGCATTCAGGCTAAGGACAGTGTCGCGGGGCACTTCCGTGCCCCGCTCCTAAGGAGGTTCAACCCTGGGAGGGAGAGAGGGGTAGCAGGGCACCAGGGTGCCTGCTACTGAATAATGGCAGAAGGGGGCTTAGCTGTCACTCACCAGGACAGCAGGTGAGAGTTGCTAAGGCAGCTGATTGGGTCAGCTGACCACCAGGGGGCGGGGCCTGGCCTTTATAAGCGGCTGGGCCAGAGCCTAGCTGGGAGTTCCCTTCTGGTAGACTGAGGTGCAGGAGCTCTGTAGCAGACCCGAGCAGAGAGGAGCAGAGCAGAGCTGAGTAGAGTGGAACAGCCTGACTGCCCGCAAGATGATGCGGGGTAGAGAGAACCCTGGTAGGGAGGTACTGGAAGAGGGCCAGGGTGGCGGCGGATGTATGTTGTAGCCACAAGGCTCATTTGGGTTACAGCCAGGTTGGCATGGAGTTGTGTTAGAGCCAGGAGGCTTAGTTTATGTTATAGCCAGTTGGCTCCCGGTTGTGTTTGTTTACATTATACTGGAGGACCGGGTGAGGCTGACAGGACAATCCCTGCTTAGCAGGGAGTTGGAGGGGGGCAGTAGGGAGAAGCCAGGCAGATGCCTGCAGTCTCTGCTAAGCTCCAGCCAGGGAGCAGAGGGGAGGGGCCAGCTCTGCAGAGAGCCCTGCCCAGCCCAGAGAGCATTCTGGGATGCTGGGGGAGTCTGGTTTAACTTAAACCAGCAAGGGGTCTGGACAGATATTGCATAAACGGTTTGACCCAAATCAGTTAAGTGTGATACTACATTCAACTAGGTTTATCTCAAACTGCTTTCAGCAATCTTCAAACTGGTTTATGTGCACTGAACATCTGTTCTGTTACAGGTGTAAACCAGTTCCTGATCTCTTGAACCAGTTTATGTGTAATGTCTGTTCCTAGCCTCAGTGCCTAAAATCATTATTCACCTCCATTTTGAACTGCAAAGCATCTCCAGGTGTCTTTATTAGGGCTTTTTGATACAGTAGAGGCATCTACACAAGACGCTTACTATGGCGTTGCCTAATTAGCTCTGTCACTGTCTACACATGTGGAGCTATTAGGTTGGAGTAAACTAATTAACTATCCAAGTACTATCCTACAGTGGACTTATTTACTCCACTGCAATGCACATATAGACAGTGACCAGGGCTTGTTGGAGCATGAGGGTACTATAGTGTGGGGCCTGCCTGCTGGTTAGACCTGCACTGTAACACCCTCATGGCCCAACTAGCCCCTTCACAGCATGTTGAGCCAGGGTGGAGCAGCTCTGGGCTGGCAGGCTGATCCCCTACAGGCTCCCAGCCAGCAGGACTGTGCTGCCCCAGCTCAACGTGCTGCAGTCCCGGATGAATGTATAAACACCATGCTCAGGAGCAATAAACTCCAGCACAGACTGCACCAGAGTTTATTCAGGCACATTAGTTGCACATGTATAGGCACCTATTGAGAGGAATCAGGTGGAACACCTCATCACATAACTCCAGCATACACCCCATTCAAACTGATCATGCCAGAGGCTCAGATTCCACCTAAGTCCCCCAACAGACACTGTTGATTAGGTATACTATGAGCATGCCCAACCTGTATCAACATCGCTGAATTCAGGTAAAAATAATGAGGAAGTGGTGATTCTGGTTACCTTTTACTCAATAGCTTAGCACACTCAGTCAGGAACTGAGAGAACTAGGTTCTATACCCTCCTTACCTGAACTGACTTGAACCTATGTCTCCCACAAGATCACTACACTTCAGGGAATGAGTTTGATGAAGAAATCTTACACCCTCCCCATCCAACTGAAGCTTGGCTACTAGTTAACTAAGAGGACAAATCATGTAACAGAAGTAAAGCAAGCAAAAAAAAAAAGTAAGCCACTGTGGCTTAGTCGTTACAGTACTCCCTCAGAAAGCCTAGTTATGGTCCTGCATTTGATATTAGACAAGCATTGCTTAAACAAACAAATAAATTTGGCAGCAGGGACTTGAATCCACAACTGCCCCTTAGAGGAGTGGCATAATCACGAGGCTACAGTCAGGCTCCCTCTTGCTTTCTTTGATTCTGTCCCTAAGACTCTTACCTTCTTGGCCACCCAAGCCGCATCCAGACGAGGGTGGCTGTGTGGTATGTGGTGCCGCAGATGCTGCATACCACATGTTCAGTTGTTCTCCGTGCTACAAGGGAACAGTGCAGAGGGTTTCTGGGGATATCCAGGGTTTTTGGGGATATCCAGAGGTCAAAAAAACATGTGGGAAAAAAAAAGGTGGAGTGGTGCATACAGTGGCCGTGTGTGCCACCTGAAGCTGGAGCCTGGCCAGGTGGAGCCATGCTCCACTGTTAGCCAGGCTTCATGTGGCAGGATCACCATTGCTGCAGCTCTGGGAGGACCCCAGGTATGGCTTCTGGGGCCAGCCCAGTGGTGGCTCCAGCCTCCTCTACCCCACCCGGGGTAACTTACTGCATGCCAGAGCATGCATAGCACAGGCATTCCCCAGGGACAACTAGTGGTGGCACAAGGTGTGCTGCTGCAAGTTGTCCCTAGGAAACCAAACATCCACATATGTTTGGACACGGCCCCAGTGGCCAACTGCATCAGGATAGTTGGAGGAATGTCACGTGCATCCTGTTTTAAGCGCTAATAATTAGGGCACTCCCCTGGGAAGTGAAAGAAGTGGATAAAGTCAGGCTGCAGAGGGCCTAGAACCCAGGGTTTCTTATTCTAGGGTGAGTACTCTAACAGCTAGGCTACTGGGCCAAAAGCACCTGCTAGCTCCCCCAGTCAAGGAGCATAATAAGTGATTATAAATGCTAACTATACAACCTGATCAGACATCTAAAGTCTTAAGAGGAGCAGGGAGTTCAGGAACATCTCTGTGCTTAACATTTCCTATTGGCTAGTCCTACATGCCTCTAGGCTTTCTGAATTGCCCCGCGGAGATGCCTAGTTCTCACCATGCTCTGGTTAGCATGCCTACACAATGAACCTAAGTCACATTGCATTGCTCTTAGGAAGCACCCAAGTTACTTCATTGGTTGTATAGGGATCCTAGGTACCTTAATCTAGTCAAATAAGTCACTGTCTTGGGTAAAAGATGCTTAGATTTTATGTGCTGGAAAATCTAAATGTAGGCATCCCCAAGACCAAACTGGATCTGGTTCACAGTACTTCAGTGCTCCAGATGGAAGCACAAATTTAAAGAACTCATTGCTTAAGAGCAATCCCATCACAACAAGGCAGCCTGTAATGCATGATGGACCAAAACATGACACATTTAATTCAATTTCTGGCAATTTAAGATTTCTAAGAGGCTGATGTTAACAGTGAGCAAAACAAAGATTTTAAAAAAAGTTATGAGAGTCTTGGATTGTGTCCTTTCAACATGTCATTGCCAAATGTGAGCTGTGAGAGAACTGTTATCTTGCCTGGTTGCATTGGTTAGTTTGAGAGTTGTTTGGATCACAGCCACAGAGCTGACATCCTTTCCTGCTACCCAGGTTCCAGTAGCCAGGAGCACATTGGTCACACAATGAACCTATCACATTAGGTAAGCAAGGGCAGGCTCCAGTTGTTGGGTTGCAGAGGCAAGCTTCATTTTCAGATGGACATATTGCTGGGCTCACGCCTGAAAGATTGCAAGTGCATTCTGGAAAGAGAAAGTCCGTTATTATGCAGAGAATAACTAACTATACCAGAATTTGAAATGAATTTAATTCCTTTCGTTCTGATTCCTCCCTGAAGAGAATGAGCGTGTGCTTGTTTTCCAAGAGCAGAATATAGCATTATCACTTCAGAAAACCGCCTCCCATGAGACACGTACAGTGTAAAGAAACCTAAAAGGGTGACTAAGAATAGCAATAATAGAATTTAACTGACAGTGCTAGCATGATAGTAGTGTCATTAATAGGCATTTGTCCAATATAGTTGCTCAGTTCCTAGGAATTATTAGCTCTGTAAAAGCCAAGTTCTCTGTGCACCATGAGTTCCTTAAGGCACAGTCTTGGTGGCAATATCTGTTTGTAACTGAATTATTTACTTACTTCTGCAGCTCTGAATAAGGGCAGATCCAAAGTAGCCTGGCTTGCAGAATTGGCAGTTGGGCCCATGTGTATTGTTTAAGCATTTTAAGCATTCTCCTGTAGTCTTGTTACAGGATTCTGGATCTGTCATATCAATGTTATTATTGCAGGAGCAGGGCAAACACTGAGTCCTGGGACTTCTTGCATTCAGATAGAATCCACTAGGGCACTCATCACATCGATTGCCTACCAGAAAGGAAAGTTAAAAAAGGAAAAAATGCTGAGTGCTGTGAACACACGTAAAACTTTTATTTTTTTTTTCCTTAAAAGTGTTAGAAAATTCTCCCTGTCTGTGTAGCTGCAAGGTTTTAGAGTAAAATGATACCAGGCAGTTTGGTACTGTTGCATTCTAATTGGCCAGCAGGTTAAGATTACATGGACCCAAACAGCAGAAAGGTTGAACATATGCAGCTCTACCCACCCTCACTCAGCACCTCTGACCAAAAAAGTGCCTACAACAATGGTTTTCAACCTTGTTAGACTCAAGGCACCCCTTTGAAAATACCAGCTCTTAGCTTGTACTTGTTTTTTGACTATGACAGAGCAATCCTTCTGTTGCAAACAACTCAGAAAGAGCACGCCAGGTCAGAATGCTTTTAATGCTATGGATTCCTATTTGAAATCTCTGGGCGCGTCCAGACAAGCATAAACATGCAGGGCTGCACATTTCCCACGGCACAAATAGCAGCAGCACATATGTTTATACAAGTACTAAGTGACTGTGCAGTAATGACCGTGCAGTCAGTGTCTTGTGTAGACACAGCCAGTGTCTATAAACCATCTAAGGGACATGTTGGAGGCCAATGTTCCCTCTAAGGAGTAGCGGTCCATGAGTGTGCTGCTTTGGTGCGGCGTGGGACACTTACCAAAGGTAAGCTCCTCACTCCTCACCCAGGGCAGGCAGTGGGGGCTAGGGCCTGGGACCTGGAGGCCAGGGGCAAGGGGGCCAGGTGCTAGGGGCCTGTAGGCTTGGGGGCCTGCCGCAGGCTCTGCTGGCTCTGGGACACTGCTCCTCTTCCGTGCATTGCCTTGGGGAGCAAGGAGGCATGTGGCGTCAGAGCCGGGGAGTGGAGTAGTTCCCCGGAGCTGGCGGAGCCTCACTCAGGGCAGGCGGTGGCTCCTCCCCAAGGTGAGGCAGGGCAGGGATGCAGGCTGGCGTTGGGGGCTGGTGCAGGCTCCGCTGGCTCCAGGGAACTGCTCCACTCCCTGGCCCTGAAGCCACGTGCCTCCTCACTCCCCGAGGCGAAGCAGGGGAATGGAGCAGTTCCCTGGAGCTGGCGGAGCCCGTGCCAGGCTCCTGCCCCCACCAGGCTCCCACCCCGCCTTGCCTTCTATAAGTGTCCCGCACCGCAGCCCAGCTCCTATCCCAGTGGGTGCACAGCCTAAAAAAGTTTGTGCACGGCCAGCCTTTTACTTGTGCGTGGCTGTGCACGCGCGTACCTTAGAGGGAACCTTGCTGGAGGCCATTTTCAAGAAGTGTGTTTCTTCATTGGTTCTGGGCCTTCTTCCCCTAGCTCTCTGATTTTATTATAGCTCTAAGGGAGTTGCACCACAAAGAACTCCACCTGCAGCTGTCCTAAGCCTTCCTCAATATACCTTATCTTAATATACCTTATCTTAATATACCTTATCAATGTTACCTTATCTTCCAAGTGGGACAGGCAGCCCACTCAACCTCCTGACTGGCTCATGACCAAAAAAGTGCTGTTTACGCTCTGGGCTTGGTACACAAGAGTCTTAGGAGCCCCTTCACATGCTGTTTACCCGGATGGTGTCTGGGATCTGATTTGTGAGAACCCCTGTGTAAGGTGTATGTCTTGATCCAAAATAATTATTATGACAGAAATCCTCTGGACAAATGATGGCTAAGCCAAGTATAATCCCACAGCATTTACTCCCCTGTTTTGAAAGGGAACTTGACCTAAGTAAAGACTACAGGCCCAGTGTTTGGGTGTCTTAGCACTTAATTTTGACTTAGTAAAGGTGGATATGATGACAGAAGCTGGCAGCAAAATTTGAAAACAAAGGATTTGTCCTAATTTCATGCTGGGAATAGCATGAAACAAATAGGTCCAGCACTACTGTTTCTATCATGAGGCTGCTGAGGGAGAAAGGATTAACTATGCTTTTTCTAAAGAAGATTGCTTCAACTAATTTTATTTTCTGTTTAAGCATTCATTTAAGGCAACACTTTCCATCTACCTTTGCTTTCCATCCCAGTAATATAAGAAATTTTAATTCTAATGTACAGAGGAATGAGAGAGCTTGTTAATTCTCCCTCCAAGAGATTCAGACTAGCACATGACATTAAGAAATACAGAGTTAGCTTGCTACAAAAAAATAGTAGCATGCAAGATAATTGAGAATGAAGCAGCCAATTGTGAAAAAAGTAGCTCAAAGTAAGAAAACCCCTTCTCTGAATGATGCATCAGGTCAAAATTCTACATCTATAAAGACATTCCCTTATGGGAAAACAATTTAATCCACACTTCTCAAAGCAGTCCACTAATTAGAGTGACTTAAATTTTGGCAGCAATTCTGATTTGGGTACCCCAACCTTATTTTTTCAGGGACGATGCCTACTTGCATATCTCACTGTCTTTATCTCAGCACCATTGAAAATGAGGCCCTAAAGAAGAGATCCCCTGCTAGTATGAATTTTGACTACTTCAGTGGAGCTATGAGAATTTATCAACTAAACATCTCCCTGTAGAAGTCTCAAATTGGGCAGCCAATATAAAAAATCTGAGCTTTACATTTAAGAAATACGTAGACTAGACAACAGATTTATCTACAAATAAGTGAAAGTCAAAATAGAGGGGATGGGTTGCTTCATTGCATCCATTTTTTTACCTTTAGTTGCTTACTAGAACTTAAATTGCAGGGCTACTGGGCTGTTGTTTTTTAATCAAGCAGCCATTAACTTTATTGTTCTATGTTATTCTTATGATTGCAATATCCCTGAGAGGATAAACTGGAAATAGTTGTAATTTTTCAGCTTTTCATTAAGAACAATGATATTATTAAAAACAAACTACATTTTGTGTCATACCTGAATAGCCCTTGAGACAATTGCAGACTAATTGCAAAGTCTGAGAATCTTGGTAACAGGAATGTGCAAAATATCTGTTGCTTGTAGGAGAGTCTGGACACATACATGGACAACAAGGCACTCTTTTTAGAGGATTCCCATAATAACCATCAATACATCTGTCAAAACAGTCACCACAGAAGCATATTAAATTCGCTTCTTGACAAATGTGCTCTTCAGTCATTGCACGTAGATTGGTTTATTCAATTAGGTCTTTTTTAATCTAACAGCAATTGTCACTGCAATACTACTTCCATTGTTTGGTACAGAAGTGTCTGGTCTTGAATAGATTCAATTAAAATCAATGCTGTATCCCCAAAACCTGGATCAAGAAATCTCTAGTTATGTATTTTACGTTCTAGAGAGTTTGGCCAATATTTTGGATTCCATCTTTCACGTCCCCGATATGATTTGAATCAATAATGTAAGAATTACACATATACAATGTGTAATTACAGTAAATTTAACTACACCATTTTTTATATATTTTGCAAAACAAAAGTACCTATTATTTGTAAAAACATCTGTATCATTTTTGTTGGACTGCTTCCAAGTTAGCTAACTAGTCAGTAAAAGGCTCCTTGTTGACTAAACATTATCGAGTTCAAAATGGTACTCCTTATAGAATCCACAGAGAAATCTTTTTTAAAATAAATGGGAGGATATGCCCCAACCAAACTAAACTAGTCAACTGCCCAGCCCTATTGCCAGGGCTGTACTGACATCATTCATGCTGCCATAAGGCTGCATGAATGAAAAAAGGAGGCACACCGTTTTTTAGATACATTGTCTGCCTATGTCCTTCGACCAACATAGCTACAACCTACACCCTAGTAATAAAACTGATACTGAAAACTTATTATAATACTTAGCAGCTAAAACATTTTTAGGACTCACAAATGAATGATATATATAGCATTTGTCACATGTAGCAGGGCACTGAGGGCCCAATATTCTGAGGTGTTGAGGAGCATAACAATCTGCTGAATGCTTTCTGCAGCTAGTACATACAACCTCATTGGATCTGGCCCTACAGTGCTGAGAATTAATCTGTGGCTGCCATCTTATGCTTGTGCTTGCTGAATAAATACACAGTTGTCCCTCAGTAGTGATGTCCAGTTTTACTCTTGGTTTTATGTGTATTTGCTATTAATGTCAGCGATACAATTCTGTGACTGAAGGTAGAACTGGACCCAGTAGTTTGTAACTGCAGTGCTTTATCCTGGAACAAATACCAAACTATCACCTAACATTCAAACACACTTTCTGGATTACATCCTGGGGCATAGTGGCAAAGTAGGTAAGGAATCTTGCTGTGGTTCCAGAGCTGTGATTACAAGGCTTTTTTTGGAGTGGTGGCAAAGGTCATGCCCAGTCAACCCAGGTGTAAATGGGTAACTGGTCATTTGGATTGGGGCATCAAATGTAGTTGGAGGTGATGCTAGAAACACTGCTCCACTGTGATGGCTACAAGTCTTAATAACACTACGTCTATGGGTCACTAATGTCAGGAAGGCCTGTAACCTACCTTTCGCAGCTACTTCCAGTTGTGAAGCCTCTACAATTTAGGCATGCCCCAGTCACTGGGTCACAAAGCTCTGCATAGCCATTACATGAACAAGGTCGACAATTGGGAAATCCAAAATATCCAGGGAGGCACTGACTGCATCGCAGACCATCAACTTCTGGCCGGCATGAACATTGCCCAGTCACTTGATCACAGAGAGTGCTCACCGATCCTTGAGGATGGCACTGACAGGCTAGATAAATGAAAGTAAATAAAAAAGTCATGTTAAGGATGAGCTGCATCTTTCCTGAACTGATTACCAGCGAATGCCTTTAGACTGAGATGTCTTGTGGTGCCTTTGGGGGTCTGCCACCCTGGTACCTGGTTCCCCCACTGTGGTCCAGCCTGTTTGCTGGCTCTCTCTCAGCTCACCTCACCTCCAGTCTCTCACTTGCTATGACTTGATGTTATATTGGTGTTTATTGTGGGAGGCAGTCCCTGGGGCTGGCAGTAGCCTTGCTGGTCATTTTGCCTGCCCAGCCAAGCCAGCCCCCCACCTGGGGCCTTGTGCTCTTCCCTCAAGTGCTTCCCCTTTAAGGCAGCGCTCCTGTAGGCTTCTGAGCATGTCAGGGCTTCAACTACTGCAGTCTTGGCCCCCTTTTTCTCTGGCCGCACCCTCTGCCTTGGTTCACTGTTTAAAACCTGGGCTCCCAAGTATTGGCCCTGCCTTGGCAGCAGTCCCTCCTGGGGCTCCAGTCTTACCATGCCAGTCTTCACCTCTTTGGCTTGGAGCTGGCTTTTGGCACAGACAGCCATGGAGTGCCAGTCACACACCCCTATTCATAGTCTCTTCCACCCCCGTGGCCACAATCTAGTCCTCCAGTTTCAAGTTCAAAATGGAACAAAAACACAAGCTAGCAGCTTCATGAAAAAATGTCTCCCTCCCTCAAGGTAAATGTTGCCTACAGGCCCTACCTCTGTTGGAGGTATCTCATCTTAGATCCTCTGGGTGGCTTGGGTGCCTACCTGTCTGTCTCCAGCAGCCTCTCTCCCTCAGGAGATCCTCTCCCTGCTGCAAGCAGGGGCTACCCCTTGTATGGTCAGGGACTAGACTAATATCCCCCATGCCCGGCCAAAAGGTTTGGCATCAATAATCACTCTGGGACTCAGACTTATTCAAGCCTCTTTAGTTTGCAAGCAGAGGGATGTAAATTATGTACAAGAAAGTTCTCTTATAAGACTTCTGGGACTGTCTGTTTCTAGCTAGGCTTGAATTACCACTAGATCACTTTTTCAGCTCAGTTCTTCAGCACTTCCATTTCCACTCTTTGTGGGAGCTAGGAAGCACACAGGCATAGAAATCTGTGTTGGGAGAAAAACCAGCCATGGTCTTGGAATCTCAAATGAAATGCTGTTAGTGGAACAGGCAAGAATTCAATTTGTTTCATAGCTTTAGCACTTACGGTAACAACCATGAAATCCAAAACCGTAACTCCCAACTGAACATGTGTCACAGCAGCGGCCAAAAACATTAGGCTTGCATTGACACTGGCCTCCCAGCTTACTGCAGTTGGAGCTCAGTGACCC